GCAGCACCACTGCATGTTTTGGCATCCATTCTCTCGAGCCCATTTCAGAATATCCAAATGTCCTCCTGCAGCTGCAGCTGTGCATGTGCAAGCAGTCCAGTGACAACCCTGCTCACGTGCCCACTTCAAAACTTCTAGATGCCCACTCTCTGCAGCTTCAGCACATGTGTAAGCAGTCCAGGGACAACCATGCTCACGTGCCCACTTGAGAATGTCTAAGTGCCCCAATGCTGCTGCAGCATTGCACGTAGATTCATCCCACAGGCATCCATGCTCACGTGCCCACTTGAGAATGTCCAAGTGCCCCGATGCTGCCGCAGCCTTACACGTATCTTGACTCCATCGACAACCATGCTCGCGAGCCTGCGACAATACCATTGTGGATTGATTAATCTAACGATCTAAGAGATGTAAAGTTTGTATTTCCAAATAAGTGAGCAGTTATTGATTATTTTCTAGAATAGGCCCGCAATTTATAAAGCTGTAAAGCTGAATTGTAAGCTGTATCCCGTCGCACTCCCTTACAGCTGAAATGAAGCTGTAGCAAGAAACAATAGGAGAGAGTCCCCAGCAACGTGCTGAGGTAGATTACCATCCCATGAGGAGCTTCCGAATGACTGCAAACTGTGGAGCTGGCAGACCCTTAGTGAAGATGTCGGCCCGTTGTTCTAGAGTCGGAATGTACTTGGCCACGATGCCCTTCGACTCCCCGATATTCGACCTAAAGAAGTGGGACTTCAATGCCAAATACTTGTTGCGGGCTGACATCTTGGGAACATTCACAAGAGACAGGCAACCTTGGTTGTCTTCGAATACTGTAGAGCGCACGAGACTGTCAGTAATTACGGGCATATGCAGTTTGTTACCAATTTCCTTGAGCAGGGCTCGCATAGGAAGCAGCTCCCTCATGGACATGCTGAAGGCAACGTATTCAGCAGCAGTGGAGCTCAGAGTAATGTCAGTCTGCAGTTTGCTGGACCAAATGACAGGGCATCCAAACAAAGTCAAGACAAAACCAGTGCGAGACTTGACCGAAACAGGATCCTGA